GATCTTCACGTGATTTTCAAATGACTCTCCCATGTCAAATCATTGCCACTATCTGATGGCCTCCTTCAAGCCATACAACTTTTGTCTGAAACATTTCTTTCTAAAGTGCATAGTTTATGAAATATTCGACCGGTCCGGGACTTTTGGGGCACCCTATATATGGATCATATTAATATTTAATAAGCATCTAACCAACCTGAATTTCTAATTTGATTTATATTTGGAACAAATAAGATTTTAATTAACAATCAGTATTAATTTAAATTAAATTAAATTCAAATGAAAATTTTATAAACGTCTATATTAAATTCATATTTAACTGTTTTTCGCGGGATTGTTGTTACATTGTAGCAATATTGTAATGTTACTGATTTATAGAGCGAAAGTACCCATACAGCACAGACTATTGTTATATTGCAACAATATTGCAGCAACATTGCAATATTGCTGCAATGTAATAACAATCATTGATCAACATTCAAATTTTTTCCTGATTTAACATGTATCATAGGTTATATCTAAGGCACTGATTACGAAAAAAATACGTTTAGTTGTATCAGCTCTATTTTTTTTATTTATAAGATATTACGATTAACAAATTCTGAAATAGATTTTCGATATTTTTGAAAGATGTATTCGCCACAAATATAACAAAAACTATCTGGATTAAACAACGTCTCCGAGTCGAAGACATATCGAAAGTTAAGAAAATAATAATTTTGAGTCGAGTAAAACTCAAAAAAACTGCACGTGATGTCTAAAGAGGACGTAGTCTAAAAATATTAAAAAACAAGAGCTGTTAAAAAAACCTACTGTCGTACTCGAAATCAGCACATTTAAATAATAAACTGCAAAATTATAAGAGGAAAAAGTTAAAATTATTTTTTTTTGTTGACCAGTGTAGTCTGTGCTGTACGGGTACTTTCGCCCTATAAATCAGCAACATTGCGATATTGCCGCAATATTGCTGCAATGTAACAACAATAGTCTGTGCTGTATGGGTACTTTCGTCCTATAAATCAGGAATTGTTTCGCCAGGTGAGATAAGAGAGAGACGCTACTCTCAGCATTGTTTTTATGCGAAAATGTGCCGAGCGAGGTAATGATCGAAGCATGTAAATAAAGGAAATATGTTACGAAAGATGAATAAAAGTGCCGACGCAATCTCTTTTCCATCCTTACGTTATAAAAAGGTAGATTTTTCTGAAGATGTAAAATTATCTGCATCTACTTATCTTTTTAATTAACGATCATAATAAAGACTTCTCTCATTAACCGAGAAACCGATCGATTATTTTATGATTTTTCTCTCTCTCTCTCTCTCTCTTTCTCGTTTACATGTTGGAATAACGGAATGTTATAGCAACTATAAATAGACAAAATGCGGAACAAAACCCATACAGACCGTTGTTGTTACATTGCAGCAACATTGCTGCAATATTGCTGCAGTATAACAATAATGTAACAACAATGTCTGTTGTATGAGGATGATCCTCATTTGATTTTGAATACGACAATGCGATCCTCTTGTTGAAAGAACGTAATATACAGGGTGTCTCAAAACTCAATGAATTTTTCAAAGACAGATTCCTGGAATCATCTAAAGACGATTTTTTCTCAACGAAAATGTCGAGGCACTAATAATTTTTGAATTATAAGTGATTGGAAATGAGGGGTTTTTCGTAAACCAAGCTTTGTAGAAATAAAATATTAACAAACCCACATTCTTCGATTAATTTTAAATAGAGTTTACTTTAGTTGAGTTTTAATTTAAGGCTTAATTGCAAAGATATATATGATGACCAAAATCGGGAATATGCAAAAAATGATGGCCTTCATCGACATTTTTGCTGAGGAAAACTCGTCTTCAAATGATCCCAGGAATCTGTCTTTGAAAGATTCATTACACTGGTCAACACTCAAATTTTTTCCTGACATTTAACATGTATTATAGGTTATATCTAAGGCACTGATTACGAAAAAAATACTAGTTTAGTTGTATCAGCTTTACTTTTTTTATTTATATTTCTGAAATAGGTTTTCGATATTTTTGAAAGATGTATTCGCCACAAATATAACAAAAACTATCTTGATTATGTAAACAACGTCTCCGAGTCGAAGACATATCGAGAGTTAAAAATAATTTTGAGTAGAATAAAACTAAAAAAACTGCACGTGATCTCTAAAGGGGGTAGTCTAAAAATATTAAAAAACAAGAGCTGTTAAAAAAAAACTACTGTCGTACTCGAAATCAGCACACTTAAATAAGTCCAAAATTGCAAAATTATAAGAGGAAAAAGTTAAAATTATTTTTTTTGTTGACCAATGTTATGAGTTTTGAGACACCCTGTATGTAAAATGCCTCTCGGTCGAACTTTTAGCTCTCGAATTTTTCTTTCCCGCACAATGTGCATTAATCATGGCGAAACGTAAATGCCCTCGTAGGAATTTAAAATTTTACCGTTAAAAAAGAAGAACGATCCTACAATCTTTCTCATAAGGATTGACAGAAGACTTATATTGTGCGATAATTCCCATGGTGGTGAACATAATGTATGCAAATTTCTTCGTAAAAAAACGTACGAAAGGCTTCTTGTACTTTGTTATCTTGGCTCTTCGAGTCGTCGCGATTAAAGAAACTGGATCGACGATATATCAAGCCAGAGAAGAGCAAAGAGAGTCGAGATTACGATGGCTTTCATGCGCATCGGTTTCCACAAAATCGGGAAAAAATTGCGCGAGCACCTGTCTAGAGTATGGACTTGTCACTGTGTGACAAGTATAACGTGTATTTCCTCGTTCTTGCACCTGTTTACCTTAAGGCGTCGCAAATAGTTGTAAGGAGAAACCACCTCACGTTGCTGCTCTTTGCGAGATCGATATAACTGATGCGCGACGAATCGAAGACTTAGTAAAAGGACGCTCGAAGAATCGATCAAAAAGAGATGCTAGTAAGGTTTGATTGACAGCTCTACATTATATAGTCATTAATTGAAAATCATCGAGTTTTTTCGCTCCAAATTATTTGTTATTGAATATCTGATGAAGTAGAAATTCGTTAAATTTAAATGAACGAGATGAATGGATCTTGCATAGTCATACATGGAAGGAAGCCTTGTTCATCCCGTAGTGTGTGAATATATAAGTTCTAATATTTTCCCTCCGATAAATGATACTTTAGCTCTTACTCTGGCTAGTCACCGTGCGTGTCGAGAAGACTATCCCGCGGACAGGTCTTGCAACGTCTTTGTTAATATATTCCGTATCGATGATGATCGATTCCTTCGTCCAATCACGAAGTCGTCCTGCTCGCTTTCGTGGTGACAATCTTGAAAAAAAATCCTGCCGAGCTGCACGTGCATAAAACCGGCTCGGTTTTCTTGTCGAGCGAGAAGCTCCGTAATTATGTAATTATTAACTTTTTTTCTTTATGTTTCTCAATATCTTCACCATTTACGCGATTTTTCAGCCGAACAGTGAGAATGTTATAGTCGCGATATCCATTGGCGTAACTGCTACCGGATATTCATTGATGTAACTATAGTTTGAACAGTCTTCATAAATTTTTGATACCTGAAATATCGTATATTTAATAATAGAATCGTAATAAAATATTTTCAAAATGACATTGAACAGCTTAATCACGCAGGTTTTTTTAAATTTAGAAAATTTTTTCAATATGACATTAAACAGCTGCTCGCGTCGATTTTTTAGAATTTAAAAATTTATAATTATATTGCTTGAGCAAAAAGTTTTGTTATAAATTTTTGATACCTGAAATATTATATATTTAATAATAGAATTATGATAAAATAGTTTGAAAATGACATTGAACAGCTGATCACGCAGGCTTTTTAAAATTTAGAAAATTTTTTCAATATGACATTAAACAGCTGATTGCGTCGATTTTTTTAGAATTTAGAAATTTATGATTATATTGCTTGAGCAAAACGTTTTATTATAAATTTTTGATACCTAAAAAATTATATATTTAATAATAGAATTATGATAAAATACTTTCAAAATGACATTGAAGAGCTTAATCACGCAGGTTTTTTTAAATTTAGAAAATTTTTTCAAAATGACATTAAACAGCCGATCGCATGTAAGTTTTTAGAATTTAGAAATTTATGATTATATTGCTTGAGCAAAAAGTTTTATTATAAATTTTTGATACCTGAAATATCGTATATTCAATAATAGAATCGTAATAAAATATTTTCAAAATGACATTGAACAGATGATCGCATGTAATTTTTTAGAATTTAGAAATTTATGATTATATTGCTTGAGCAAAAAGTTTTGTTATAAATTTTTGATATCTCAAATATTATATATTTAATAATAGAATCGTAATAAAGTATTTTCAAAATGACATTAAACAGCTGATCGTATCAATTTTTTAGAATTTAAAAATTTATGATGTTATTGCTTGGGCAAGAAGTTTTATTATAAATTTTTGATATCTGAAATATTATATATTTAGAGAATATTATAGAATCATAAAATTTAGAAATTTTCGACTACTGTTTTAGAATAAAAGGTCTTCTTATTATAAATTTTTGATATAAATTTAAAATGTTATATTCAAGATAGAGTCATATTCAGTAATAAAATTTGTAAAATAGAGTCATATTCAGTAATAAAATTTGTTCCAGATGAAATTAAAATTTCTAATGATTTTTTAAAATTTAGAAATCTTTTTCAAAATGACATTAGACAACTGATCACACAGTTTTTTTAGAATTTATAAGTTCTCATCTTATTGTCATCATATCATTGGAATAAAATATATAATATTTATCAGTATTTATTGAAATAATAATCACAGATATATATTATCGTTTGAATTCGATTATCTCTCGTCTTCTTCTCTTATCAACATAATTTTTCAATTCCTAACTAACAAAAAAAAACATATAAAAAGATCAAAATTATAAAAGTGTTATAATTACATAAAACATCAACTAGATTTTTGCAACGTATTGTTTCTTTTTCAGCTTTGTACAGGAATTTGCATCTCCGCCCGCGGACGGAATTACTTTATTGCTGGAGACTTTACGCGGGGTTCAGCTGGCCCAAAGTTCACCGCCAAATTCGGGACAGCCCGGGCCCAGAATCGGTACCAGAAGGGCCGCCCTGGACGAGCTGGGATGCGTGGAATGTCTGGCCGCGTGCGGCGAACGATGCGCCGATGCACCGAGGCTATTAGTACAGGCGCAACCTGGTCTACTGGCTCTCGCGGTTTGTTTGACTAGTAGTCTGAACCGGTCTCGAGTTCTGGCTCTTCAGGTAACAATCGTCACTTCCGTTCGCGAAGCGAAGCGTCGCGATACCGTTAGACAAAAAGGACCGATTAGAACTCGTCATGTCGCACGAATGTCAGCGCAAAATAACGCGAGATTCTTTATCCTTTTTTTGTTATCATACCCGTCCAGTTTACTACAATATAATTTGACATATACGAAAATATATATATTTTTTTCTGTCGGCAAAATAATTTTTCTAAATAATTCATACATAAATTTTTTCTTTTTCTCCTTCGTTCTCTTTTTTAGTGTTTAAATTATTTTATTATAATTATTTTAATATAATTTTTAATATAATTTAATATAATTAAATTATAATTTTAAATTAAAATTATAATTAAATATAATTTTTAATATAATTTACATTATCTTATTATATATTATATAAAAATATACATTTTTTTCTACTGCCAAAATAATCTGGATAATAATTATACATAATTCTTTTTTTTTCCTTTTCATTTTCTATTTAAAGTAATTTAAATTATTTAAAATTATTTAAAATTATTTTACTAAATGAAATGTTACACTTTTCTTATATTTATACATATATCACACGACAAGGATGTAATATTACAAGTCATTGAAATGTAAAAAGAAAATAGATGTTGTTAAATTCAAAATCAATTTTTTCGGGAATAAATTCTTACTTGAAGAGACTTTATTTTACTGTACTTTCGATTCTTTTTTTTCATGTACAGTAGAATTATCTTTTCACTTTTATTATCAGTTATGAAATATCGCATGGGCAATATACATAACATAATCACTTCCTTTATGAATAAACATTCGTATAGTGATTTAAAGACACATTACATTATATTATATAATATTATAAAAGTAACTCGATGGAAATTGAAATTTTAATTTCTTTCGTTGTGTATCTTGGAATCCTTTACATGATTTAAGAAATCCTTATGATTTTAAATCTTAGAAAATTGAAAATTTAATATACTCCGTATTTTCACATAAAATCATAATAAAATTATTTATATTTGCACTTTAGTGTAAAATATAATTCTAAAATTATTTCTAATATTATTTCTTAAAAGTATCGACGATTATGGTAAATCGAGATACTACCACAAAAATAATAAGACTAGATGGACTTTTAAGAAAGAAAAAAGATAAAATATCAAAGAGAAAATAAAATGGCTCAATCTTCAATTCTTCTTCTGCAATAAAAGTTAATGCTCTTGATTGGGCTGTTCAGTTATTTTTCCGGGTCGTATCGGTATTTCGTAAAACGCGTGTTCTCGAATAAAGGTAACACACTCGACACGGACTGCGACCCGTTATTTCGAGGGTACTCACCGACGAAACCAGTTTTTATCGTTTATCCACCAAACGTTATTCGGTCGAGCGCGTCGACGTCATTTGCCAGCCTACACGTTACAGATAACGTTTAAGACTTAATTTTTTTAGCTCTCTCTCTCTTTCTCTCTCTCTCTCTCAGGATGTGTACCTTGCGAGAGCGGATATCGCGCGGTACGATCAGCAAACGAGGAGCGATAATTACTTCCACGGCACGCGAACAGGAAGTTTTACAAAACTGCGAACGCGTATAATAAGAATGTACCTGTCGGTTCGCGGAATGATGAAGTAAAAGTCCCAGGTTTCCCTAAAAACGCACAAAGATGGAGATTTTCAAGCGAATTCTTCGAGGAATTTCTTCTCGAGCTAATAGTGTAGCGACTCTACAAATTTCTAGGCTACCTCTCGACAAAGTAAATTAAGCTGTACCTATTCATTTGCAGCTCTTGACGAAAGTATGCCAAGCGCCAGGTGGACACGCGGCTGTCTCGGAAGCGGTGTCGACGCTGAGACTCAAATACGGGGAAGGAGGGAGATTCCGATTTCTAGCGGGCGCTCTTCTAGCCCCTAGAGCGGCTATCGCGTTGAGAGTTGCAGGGATTTCGTTCTTGAATGCTTTCCTCAAATCGGCGCCTCGCACACAAACCAGATTATATATCCAGGTGAGGGAAGATTGTAAGACATTTTTCTGCTTATTTATATAATATATTTTAGACAGGATATAAAAGAAAATATACATAGTATAAAGAAAGAGATACATACACGGTAAAAAACATTTTGTATTTCGGTTAAAATTTTCTCGTGTAAAAATTTTTGTGTTAAATTTTTAACATACTCTTATGTTAATGTAACATATTATCGTTGCGTTATTTTGACATTTCTGCGTTGAGTTAGTATTCACCGTTTCTAAGAGTTAAAACAACACAATTAATATGTAAATGCACGAATTTTTGATGAAATATGTTATATGTTAAAATTAACAGATAAGTTGTGTTATTTATCTATCTATAACAGTTTTCATATGCTAAATCGACATATCCCTTCTGTTATTTATCATAAAAATGTAAGAATAACATTTTCTTTTAATTAAATTTAACATTATAAATATGTTAATTTAACATAAACTTTATTTCCAGATAAAGTTTAAGTGTTACACTTTTGTGTTAATTTTTGAATATATTACTTGTATTATTTATTTACATACTTGCCTTCTGTTAAATTAACATTAAAATTAGAGTTAAATATGATAAATTGGGACATGTAAAATATGTTACATTTAACACAAAATTTTTTACTGTGTACACAAGGTGTCCCATTTTAAAGTTTCCACTGGAATATCTCTTTTAGAAAGAATTTAAGAAAAAGATGTTTTGGACAAGGGTTGGTGGGTTCAGAGGAATACTCTCGATGGCAATCTTGATTTTGAAATTTCAAATTTTAAAGAGGTCATTTAAGGATCAGTTAAAAAAATTTTTAACTGGAAATTCCCATATTACAGTACATCTTTTGAAAGGGCATAAAAAAAGAAAATTTTTGGCGCAAGGCAGAGGTTGATACGTTTATCCGTTCGAGAGTTATTTGGGGTCAAAGTTGGGGTAAAAAAAGGGCAATTTTTAAAAAAATCGTTACTTTCATTTAAAAAGTCCTAAAAAACGTCCGAAATATGAAAAGTTTTGTTTTCTTATAAAAGTCCTTTTCATAAAAAAATTTAAATTTGACGTTGGAATTTTCTTTAACGTCGAAAAAGGGCATTCAAAAACCTATTAAATTGAAAATGGCATATTTGACGAGGAACAAATTTTGAAAAATTGGGAAACAAGTTTTTTACTGACCAGATACTTTTCAAAATTCCTCTTTACAATCTTTCAGTTAGTTAATTTAGTTGCCACAGTGTCCACAGTGAAATCTTTAAAATGGGACACCCTGTATATTTATTTTTACAAACACAATATATATAATTTATTTCTTTTTCTCTTGATTTAATTACGATGAAAAAGTAAGAAGAAGTATGTTATTTTGTAAAGATTCGCCTTTTTAATATCCCATTCTCCTTCAGGCTGAAGCCTGCGAAGCTGGCCTAGAGCCGCAGGTGCTTCATGAATGGCTGAGGGAATTTGATGGGCGTGAGGAGGACGCTTTAACTGATTTACTGCACAAGGAAGTTCAGAAGTGGACACATAATTGCGTCGACGTGGATGCTCTGCAACGCAGGGTGATGCGCGCAGAGGAAACTTGCAGGATACTTAGTAAAAAGGTGTCGCTTCTTCAGATGCAGCTTGAGAAACGGAGCAATTCTGATTCGGAAGAGCGAGATAAATCTGCGCCAACAGTCCTTACTATCGTTAAAAGTCCGAAGGTATCCTCGAACGGCGAGGATGAAGGTATCAGCTCCTCGGAAAGGTCCAGCAGCTCTGAAGATATGAAACATCAAGCGAAGATCAATCGGCAAAAGACCTCGTCCGCGCAGAGCAACGATCAGGAAACCACGATAGACGATGTGATCGAGGAACTGAGAATCATTGTGAAGGATGCCGAGGAGGAGTTCAGTGACAAGACTCAAGAGCTGAGCCATCGTGCTAACATTGATCAAGAAGTCACCCTTAATGAACAGGAATCGGCTAAAACCAAATTATACAGATCGAATTCCAAGATCTCGTTGAACAATTCCGACAGTTACACGTACGAAAAGATAACCAAGAGAGATCAGTACCCAGATTCGAAAGTGTTGAGGTCAAACGCGTGCTCCAATGCATCCCAAACTCAAGTCAAGGACGAGCAGATAACTTACTTCGGCAACGATCAAGATTACAACACGGACTCCAGCGGCACGAAGAGGCTCAATACGCGCGATCTGCCCCGCAAGACATCAAAGTCATCGATGGAGGGCAGCGTGAAGATTATCGTTAAGGGACCCGACGTGGAAGAGGCAATAATACCGGCCATTCTGCACCCCCAACCGCCAAGAAGAGCGCCGCCATGCTTATCGGCCATTATGGCCGCCAGGCATTGCGATCTCACTGATCACGCGGAAACGTACAACTCCCACGATGAGGAAATCGAGGAAGAAACTTTGGGTGACGGTAGCGATTCCCTGCTGAGCGCTTCCAGGCTCAAGTACAACGGCAAGCATCAGATTTACGACGGGCCAATTGGAGGTATCAACGCGAATCAGTTGCAGAAACTGGACAGGAATGACGATGTCAAGTTCGAGAAGAACACGGACGAGCTGCCTCGCTTCGAGGGGAGCGAAAACGCGAAGGATGGGAAAGTCGGGAGAGGCTACGACATCTCGAGCGGATCAAAGTCGAGGATTGTCACGGATGTCGGGCCTACTAGCGGACAAATGGACGTTTACAAGCAATTCGATTCCATTTCCAAAGGGTTCGAGACCGCCTCCGGGCGGTCCATCGATCAGCGGACGATTCACCGACATAGCTCCAAGTATAGAAGCGAGGTGGAAAAGAGGAAATATCTGCGTCGCTCGGCCAGTCACGATTATCTCGAGTCAAACGTGTCCAGTCCATCGCAGTCGAGACGTTCGGTGAGCAAAGTGGAATGTCGCATCAGAAAGTTCGAGAGCTTAAATTCCTTCGACGAGCATCGGAGCTTGCAGAATTATGGCAGATCAAACTCGGAAAATCCTGGCAAGCGAGAGCAGGCACTGCTACTGGCCGATATCTCCAGGTCCAAGATGCGTAGATCAGAATCCTTCCATCACATATCCCATCGCGCGTCCAGGAGGGAGCAGAGCTCGTTGAAGGGAGAAAGCGACAGCGGCCTTTTCTACGTCACGGACTTCAATCTGGAGCCTCTCGTCACGAGAAGACCGCGATCGATTGACGCGCCCAAGTCTCCCAATCCGCTGACCAAGTCTCTGGACAGGATCGACGAGGGTCTAGACTCGATGGTCGACATCGTTATTACGCAAGAGCAGAGTCAGTGGAATAAAGGTAAACGTCAATCAAGAGCGAAGTCTGAGAAGCAGCTCGCGAGATCGAAATCGACCAGGCTCGATGATTTTTGCGGCTCCTCCGAATTTGACAAGCCGGTGAAGCGAGACAATTCCTCTTCTAGGGCCAAGCACTCGAAGAACGAAGAATCCGTGTTGCACCACGTTAACAATAAGCAGTTGAGGAATGATGAATTTTACGAGCAGCAGAGAACTCGCGAATGGAATTACCATAATAAGCTGAATTATGCCCAAAGCAAGGATGACATAAGCTTGGAAGACTCACCGATAATATTGTCGAGGAGTGGTATGAGACATAATTCCTTTTGTCAGAAGGACAATATTGGTAACAAGTTTTCTGGCAGACCGAACGAATCGGGGATCTTTGCTGGACGAACGTATGATACATTTGGTCTCGGGAAGAGTCGTTTCAACGCAGGCAAATACTCGGGGAATCAACAAGCTAAAGAAAACCCAATTGGCAGGAGAAACACGACCTCTTCGTTGATCGGGAAACGTGGCAAGGTGACAGATGACGTCTCGGGGCTTTATTAAATGTGTAAAATTTTACACGAGATTCTAAAGAGCCAATATAAATGGAAAATCTTTATCTCTCATGTAATAAAGTAACAAATAATTCTTGTTTAATTAATTTAAAAGCAAAGTAACTAAGATATTAAGTCAGACTTTTAACAAAGAAAAAAAAAGAAAAGAGTTAAACTTGACAAACGTATATTAATTCCTCTTTTTTTTAATGATGATAGATTTTTATTAAATAAATTTTATTAAATATTTTAATAAGTATATTTAAACAATTTTATTAAATAAGATAACAAATTTTTTATCTATCTGTTCGGTTGTAAAGCTTCATTTTAGAAATCTTCGGAACAAAAAATTCTCTTAAAAAATTAAAATTAAAATTACACAGCAAAAGAGAAATAAGTTCATCACAATTATTTTTCATATCGCTCTATAGCAAAATAACGAGATATTAATTCTGATAAATTGTGATTTATAAATTTGTGTTAAAAAAGTACAAAAAGAGAAATATAAATGATACAAATTTCACCAATCAATTAGTACGAGTCTATTATTTTTTATGAAATAGACAGCGATTAGAATATAAGAATGATTTTCAGTGCAATATTTTTGAGTATTATTGTTGTTATATCCCCGTATGATTATATTTACATCGAATATATACAAAAAATGATACAAATAAATTTTGGTGATGGACTCTTGTGTGCCTTCACTACATTATGTGATACGGTTCTTTATTAACAATGGTTCTTTATTAATGATTATACATGTAACAGTAAAAGCGCTAACATATTTTATAGGCTATATTTCATAGATTTCCATGTATTACATGTATATAATAATTATAAAGACTATATAGAACAATGAAAAATGTATAATATAGAAAAATGTGTCTTCCTGATTATGTATCAGGATAAATAACGCTTAAGCCAAGCAACAGGGTGGTTATTAATTTTTTAATTATAAAAATTAGTGTTTACATTGGGAAAAATAAGAATAACACCTTTATGTTTAGAAATGAATTTATTTCTATATCGCTTTTAATTTATTGTTTTGTATACTTAATGTCAAATAAAGATATTATGTTACATTCTATTTAATTAAAAACTTTTATTCTGCATTAGTATTAAATAAGATTTAATTTCAGCTCGCAGTAGCATGCAATAGTGTGCTTGTCACCTCACTGAGCTCATGACAGGAACCACGCGTATTTCTATGAACCATTTCTGAATTATTTAATGCTAGAGGCGCAAATATCTTGTCATGCGTTTGTTGCGCATATTTGTCTGGAAACGAAATGCATAAATATATTTTTACATACAAGTGAAATTTTTTAATTCTAATATTGTAATATTTGATATTATGTTCAACATACGTTGATTTTAAAATCTTTTACGCTCTAAAATATTTTCCTTGATTTCCTACTCTTCCTCATTCTTATGCAGTCATGTGATCACAGGGGAACACAAGTGAAAAAAGAAAAAAAAATCTTAATTTATAGAAAAAAAATTTCAAATTTAAAGAAAAACAATAAATAAAAGAATGTAAATAGAAAAATAAGTAAAATTTATAGAAAAAAATTTCAAATTTAAAGAAAAACAGTAAATAAAAAAATGTAAATAAATAACTTTAACATAAAATATAAAAGAAGTTAACATAAAAAAAAAATTAACATAAAAAATTAACATAAAAAAATTAACATAAAAAATATAATTAAATAAAATATAATTAAATAGTTATAATTAAATAAAATATAATTAAATAATTAAAATAAAAAATTAACAGAAATCGATTACACGATTTGTTTACCTAGAGTTGTAGATAACAAGTAAGAGAGCTCTTCCTGAGTCGAAACGTATTGAAATTCGTCACCGCAAGCGCCTTTTAGAACAGTAACAACGTCAGATCTTGGATTATAAAAGTACAGGGCCTGTTTACGACTACTAAATTCATTAATCAATGTTTTGATGCCCTAAATTAAAAAAAAAACAATAGATTTAAACTTAAATATAACACACCATATTATATCTTTAATTATATTATTGATTTTCAAAGACGTTATACCTTAGCAGCCGTAAAATCTGCGCCTAAAATATATCTACAATCGACAACAACTGGCACTTGACTAGATCCTTGCTTTATAGCAGCATTACCCACCGACTGCTTTATAAAATCGACCGCTGGGAAATACAAACTATTTCCTGGAGTAACCAGCAAGTAATCTGCGCCAGAATCAGTCTGTAATAAATGCGATATAAAATGAAAATAAGAATTTAGAAAATTGCAAATTAATAAAAATGTAATCATTTCGGAGAAGAACGATCTAATGTATATTCATCAGATTTAACTCTTTTCTTTTTATAGCTTTACAACTAATATCTTAGACTGATGGAGAAAGAAAAAAATTATTCTTTGAGCTGGTGTTACCCACTGTACACTTGTCGATGTGGACTGTAGGTCTTGCAGAGGGATATAATAAAAACATCAAATTTATACCGACGCCCAACAAAATACCGTATTCCACACCGATGATGAGGCAAAACAGAAAGGTGACGAACATCGGTATAAGATCCTTTTTGCTCGATTTCCATATCAGTTTTACAACTTCGTATTCGATCATATATATTACTGCGCAAATGATGACAGCTGATAACGAAGCTAAAAAAGAAATAATAATTATATATTAATTTATTATTAATAATAATTATAATAATAAATATTATATCAAACTGATTCATTGTCTTTTGCATGTTGCATGCGGTGAAAAGATTCGCTACCTTTTGGAATAAAATAAAAATACGGCGTGAGCATACTGAGAGCCAGCAAAATCAGAATCCCGGTATACAATCCACCCATTGGCGTCTTCACTCCGCTGGCGTGATTCACCGCCGATCTACTGAACGATCCTGTAACTGGCATGGAACTCGCGCAAGATCCAAGAACGTTACAAATCCCAAGTGTCAGAAGCTCTTGAGTAGCGTCGACCTTACCATCGTTCACAAAAGCTTTAGCTATGGCCACGTTACCAAGTACACCTATTATCGGTACTAATACTATGGCGGTATTCAATTCGGAACACATTTGCGTGAAGGTAAAGGTTTGATTGTTTACTCGCGTGGAGAATGGTGGAAAGCCAAATGGTGGAAGACCAGATCTCACCGGACCCGTTAGAATAAACGGAGATCCGGATTCGGACGAATCGTACTTGTACGCAATAACGGAGCAAATGATAACGACAATGGCGTTTCGCGCTGTGGAGATCAGCCATATCGTTTTCGTGAAGATCTTCTTTGACCTTTTGCTAACGTTATTTAATTTGATATCCTTCATTTTCTGTAAAACGTATAAAGAAATTCATCAAGAACGTGTACCAAATATCATACGAATTTATGTCAAACAAGCATAAAAATTTATACACGTTACCCTAAATAGTAATAGAATCACAATACAAGAGAAACTCATTCCAGCGTCCCATGGATTCGTGTCATTAATATTCTGAACAACTTTTGTCAGGGTATCCAAAAATCCTTGCGCTGAAATTCTCAAGCCCAACAGACCTTTCAATTGCGAAGCGACGATTATAACAGATGTTGCGGATGTAAAACCCACGGTTACTGGCACCGAGATGAAGTCTACGAGTACACCTAGGAAATTATTTTTTTTATGTGAAAAAATTAATTACAATAAACCCATTCACAATAGATGTCAAATGCATAGAAAGAAAATTATTCCAAATTGTTTAAAAATGGCAAAAGAATCTATTTGGAACTTCACACAAGCATACCTCATAATTTGTCTTGCGTATTTAAAGAAAAAATTTTTTTTTTCATTCAAAAAGAATGGTTTTAAATAAAATCATTCTTTCATTTTAAATAAAAAAGACATTGTTCTCGTTCATTGATTCGGCATACCTAAATGTAAGCATGTCATTAGTAACTGCAGGCAGCCAGATAAAAATGCAAGAAGTATAGCGAAATCTGCGTTTTTCCCTTGCACATAATCGTGAGTCATTAATGCCATAAGCGCGGTAGGGCCAATTGCAATATCTTTACAGGAGCCGAATATCACGTAAATGATTGCTCCTACGACCGCCGAGTAAAGGCCATACTGAAAGCAGAAGCTGCATTATTATGATATATGTTGATTTCTAACATTTCAAAGCAAATTCAAGAAAATTATATACAGTGTGTTAGATTACTCATTTATTAATAATTCTCAGTGTTTGCTGTAGATAATTTCAAAATTATCTAGATAAAGATAAAGATAAAAATCCGTAAATTTATCTTAGATGAGATAAAGATGATTTTGCTTTTACTTAATCTAGATGAAAGATGAGATAATTATTGCGATAATCTAAATAATTATCTAGATATTTTTGTTTATTTTAGAAGACTATAAATATTTGTAAAAAATGTGACCCAGATTATAAATGGGATATTAAAATCATAAACACATATTCTTTCTCTTTTCCTAAAGAATATTTAAATAATAGCAAAAAGGTATATAAATGATATGGTAAATATTTATTTATTTATTTGTATTTATAATATATTTATAACATATTTATAATATATTAATAATATATTAATAATATATTAATAATAATAATATAAAAAATATATTTTAGACATTTTAGATAGATTTTTAGAAGCTTGCTTTAAATTTTTGGAAAACTTTTTTGCATAATGAAAACGTCATCTTACACAACTTTTAGATAAGATGACATATATTTTTCATCTAAGATAAAGATAAAGATATTTTATATTTCTTCATCTAGTTAAAGATAAAGATGATCCATTTCTTTATATCTAAATGATTATCTACATAATTTTATCTAGATACCAGCAAACACTGATAATTCTATATGAAATTAATGAATGTATTTATATAAATATATCTAAGTAATATATTCTATATTTTATCTATGTGAAATAATTTTGTTTTTTATTGTATATTATACCTGAGGCTCCAAACCAGCCAATGTCGCGTATGCGAGTCCCTGAGGCATGACTGTGAGACCAACCGTGACACCGGCTATGAAGTCGCTAAAGAACTTTTCCGAATCATATTTCGGCAGCCATGCTAAGATGGGCACACGCCTCGATGCTAATTTACGTAGTCGATTAATGCAAGTTTTTCTCTTCCAACGTTCGGCCTCAGTCGCCATTCTGGATCATGAACAGAACAACAAAGAAATATATGTATAAATATATAAAGTCTATTATTGTATTCATGTATTTCTTGTATCTTCATTTTTTACAAATATTTTTATTTTTATTAAATAATCATATGTTAATAGTTATTTCGATACTTTAATATCTTGAAAAAGACGATAAAAATTAGTTCAAAGTATAACAGTTACTAACTAACAATTGATGCCGAAATAAGAGCCAATGCACAAATAAGAAAAATACTTTTATTTAATTAAAGCGCAAAAAAATATTGTTTTCCTTTTTTTAAAATACTGCAAAATATTTAATTTCATTTTAAAATGTTTATAAAAATGCAAATAAATACGGCAATATAAATGCAAACAAAAATTGGATAATATAATTTTGTAACATATTATTATTTAAAAATATTATATAATATTATAATAAATATTAATAATAAATATTATATTAAATAAATATTATATATATAATATATAATTAGTTAAAAATTTGTAATATATTATTAATTAAAAATATGTATAAATATATTTTATAATATATTATTAATATATTTTGCAATATAATTTTGTAATATATTAATCAAAAATATATAACATATTTTTAAATATATATTGTAACATATTATTAATACATTTTGTTTATTATTAATTAAAAATATGAAAATAATAGAAAAGGAAAAAAGAATTTTGTTTCTTCTTGCGCTTTAATTTGCCACTATTCGTCTCTTAGTAATTACTTTTCATATTTTGCATGTGGACGAATGAATTTTTGCCTTTTGAGATTAGCTTATCTATAGAAAGAAAAAATGAAAGAAAGGTTATTCATAGTCTAATATTGGATTACGCTTAATATCGAACCGTTAATATCGGCCATTAATATCGGACATTTCTTAACGTTTCTTAATGTCATTAAATGGCAAATATTATTCTCATAATCAGAAATTTTATTTGCCAGCCATGCTTACAATTTCTAACGGATTATTAGCCTCAATCAATTAAAAGTGATTGATAAATATAATTACTGTTATTTTATTACCCGCGATTCTTCGTAAAAAAAAAACTTCTACGATGAATAAATTATTTCAAAAAATATTCTCTTTATATCTCTTATTATATGTTTAAGCTATACATATATGTGTAAATGATTGATGTTTTGTCAGTTGTACGACACCGATAAGAGGTATCCTTTTTTTTAGAATGTATTATCACGCATATGATAATAAATTTCGTGTTCTATCACGAGAATCGAGAATCGTATACATATGTGACGTTGATAGCAAACCCGTTCGTTTACATTTATACGTGCAAAGTACATGAATAAAGATGAGAATGATCATGATTTTATTTGCGAGCGCCTTTAATATAAATTCAAATTAACCGTTTATGAAATATATCAATCATCTTGTTAACACAGAGTAATTGTATTCATTTAGATTTCATACAACAAGCATTTAGATACATAAAAAGCGTTATACACATATGTACAGCGATTAATCCTTCCCGATTGCTTCGCATGAATGAATATCGTTATTTGGAGTACATGTTTGTATCTGTGTTTTTGCGAAAGAATTGATAGTAAAATTTATCGTAAACTTTTTTTGCAGAACAAGATGACATGTCGTGATCAACATTTTTGAGGAAATATGAGTGCCATTAAAATTTACCATAGATGATAAATGTGCAACCACAATACACCGATAATAATATTCAGAATAGGGAGAGCGATGTTCGCAGAAGCAATTACTTTCACTCGGAGAGAAGCGAATTTCTCCAAATATATATATATATATATATATATATATATATATATATTTCTCTTTTTTTCTCTTTTCTTGAGTTTTCACTTTCGTTCGTTTTAGAAGCTACAAAAACTATTAATTATTTCCGCGTCGTGATATTTAGCTTATCAAAATTGCACTCAAGGTTTGCACTCAGTCGGAAATTCTGGCGGGCCGTAGACTGAAAGCACGCGTGTCTCGTCAAGTCCCTTATATACACGGATAACGAACTTGTATCGACCAGGGAAAAGTTGCTATTAACCTTCGCACTTCTTTTTCAAGAATCACGAAAAATAATGCGTTAAATGATTGATATTCTTATATATATCCCGCTAATGATACTTATTAAGATACGTTTGAAAGATGTGTTTTCTGCGTTTCAAAAGCTCTGGATTTTTATGAATATTATATAAAAATGTACATTTATGTAATTATAGTACAAACAAAGAGACTGAAGCAATTACAAATTGGAAGCGTTACCTCTGTTATCTATTATATAATGTATTTTGAGAGAAAAAAACCGGTCGCATTTGCGCCTCTATTGTGTGTTTGTCCACATATAAAGACAAAAGAAATATAAACCACAAAGGAATTGTAAATTTGACCTTCACGTGATACACTTGGGTAATACATGAAGTACTAAAACATTCTAGTCTCGAAATATATTCGTGAGAAATAATTTTATTATAATATTTTGGAAAGCTCTAAAAAAAATATGAATTTGCAACGAGAAGCTACATGTTTTCTTTTATTTAAGAACAACTGTGTTTTTTTACACTAATTGATTCCTCTCATTATTCTGTGCGTAAAAAATTAATATACGTATTGAGATAAGATAATCGACAATAAATATTTTTTTTACGAGATATTTTATAATTTATGTAAAATTATATGTCAACTTAAGATTTAAAATATCTCGTAAACTACTTGATTTTTGGCTATTCTACCCGTATAACTTTTCACGTGGAATATATTGTGGGGAATCGATTTATAGACGAATTAAGAAAGTTCCATTTAAAAAAAGTTGACCTTCACTTAGCCTTAGTATCTACATTCAAGATCAAACTAATATTCCTATCTTCTTTCTCTCTCCAAACTCTACAACTTTTATTTGAAACACTTTTTTTCAAAATGTTTTTCAATTATTAGGTGTAAAAATTACAGTGGGACACCCTATATATATTTGATTAATAATAATATCCCAGTTTTTTTCCTTATCAACCTGATAGTTTACGCAGGTCAATTAACAAAAACATTTGTTGCTAATTTTCATCAAAGATATCTTGTACAAAATTGGCTTTTAATATTGGCGCTTATTGTAATATTTAACTCTTTTTGTAATCTTCCTACAAATGACAAGATAATTAGCAGTAAATAAGTTAAATAATTTATCGTCAAAATTTGTTAGACACATTCAGATTGTGTATCAATATTTATATTTATATAAAGAGTCACATATGTACGTTTTTTCACGTCTTCTCTTTCTTTTGCTTCTTTTTTTTTGATAAAGTGATTCTTCATTGGAATTTAATCATATACATATAGTGTGTGATATAAAATGGATATGATACAAATGGATATTACGTCAAATAGAAGTCAATAAAAAAAGAACATAAATATGGCAATATTTCAGAAAGAAAACCTTGGCCCTTTTCTATAATACAAAACAATCAAACAAAATGTAATATTTGTAATAAGAAGTATTCCATAACATTATATATTTTTACAATGAAAAAGAATTTTATCTTTTTGAATCATTTATGTGTCTTTTTGTGTAATAAATAAAATCGTAAAATTTAGATATTTAATATATCTTTAATATATTTTTATCATAAAGATTATGAATATTTGAGTCAATTATTTTACTTCGTATATCAAAAATATATGATAAAATACAAATTTGCTATTTATTATATTTATACTCCTATAATCGGTAATTTGTAACAATTTGTATGAACTGTGAATAAGTATGAAAATTAATGAATCAGGCATTTGTATTTGAATGTCAGGTTATTTGAGAATATAAAACATTCAAGTTTTTGGGAAAAGATGATTGAGTAATAGTGATGTGTTTTATTATTAATAATATTTTAAATTTAATAATTATAAATTGTGGACATTCAAACAAGATTATAATATTTGTCATCTAGAAGTTTTTATTGTCCTCGTTTTATTTTATTTTATTGAAATATACTAAAAAAAATAAGAAGAATTTTAATATTCTTTGGATAAGTAATTATTTACATTGCTTTTTGATGTAGCATTAAATAATATAACATGAAATTATATCTATATAATTATATCTATAAATTTATCAATATATTTGTTTATACATTTATCTCAAATGCCGACAAAGATATAATTTTATTTATATTTTGTATATCATTTCTATCTATAATTTATTACATATGTTATATATAACACATATATTATAACACATATATAACATATTTCTCAAATATTATATATATTATATATATTATATATTATATATATATATTATATATATTATATATACATTATATATTAATATATATAATATATAATATATTTTATATATATTATATATATTATATATTATATATTATATATTATATATTATATATATTATATATAAATATCATAATCTATTAATTTTGCGAAAATAATTTTTTAACGCATTGTATTAACAAAGTTATTTAAACCGATATCGTATTTGTTGCATTTGTATCTTCAATTTGTTGAGGAGTGTTTGCATAATTATAATACAAAAATTAATAATTAAAAAAATTAATAATTAAAAAATTAATAATATAAAATTTATTCAATCTCTCTCTTCCAAATAAAACGATATTATTAAATACATTGCCTGATACAACTTTTTAATTTACAATTATTCCAACACACGCAAATTTATCTAAACACGCTAGTTATTAGAAATCTGTTAGCTTTATCTAGAGAGAGTTTCAAGTTTGACCGGGTTGACCATTGAATCGCGTAATACTTTCCAGATAACAAAAAAGTCACGCAGATAGCGTGCTTAATGAATATATGAATTGTTACAGCCTTCGAGCGTTTCTTCGTCGATTAATCATGCGTTTAAATCTCATGCATCTTTAGACACATACCTGATCGAGAGTATTACTCCGGTTAAAAGGCCAAAACGCGAGTATTACGAGTCGTCGAAGGGCATGTGAGTGTCTCGTGACATTCTTCGTGGAATATCATTTATCCATATCGACCCCATTGTTGACCAAGCCGTTGAAAAGAGCCGATAAGAAGCTGATCTGTTCGAAAGGGAATTCAACCTTGACTTATTTTTACATTTCGAACCCCATAGAATAAATATATAATATATAAATATATAAATATATAAATATATAATATTATAAATAAATAATAAATATAAATATAAATATATAATAATTGTAAATAATTAATAATAAATTAATTATAAATTATTATTAATTATAAGTAATTAATAATAATTATAAATATATAATAAATATAAATATATAATATTTTTCTCTTGACAAATGTTGTTGTCTAGTGAAGAAGAAGCGAAATCTATGGATGTAATCAACTCTAAGAAGACTAAGTCCACATGTAATCTAATCGTAATATTGCACGCGATGCATCTTCTTGTGCATCAAGGCGGCGAATGTACCACGGCTATTTATATACGATACACATCATTTATATTAGAGCGAATAAATTGCTCTGAATTCGAAAATATGCGTCTATTGAACGAGCGACAGCGAAATCAGCTGACGTCAGAGAAAAGGCGAAAATTACACGTTTAAAAAAAAACACGCATCAATGCGAACAAATTTATTACGAGTAATTTCCCAATAGCTTAAAAAAATGTGATGATAATTAGTTTTTGCAATGGTTTACAAGAGACAAGAATTTCAGATAAATCACATAAAGCACGAAAATTAAATAATTAAAAATATTAATGATACATCTTAAGGTATTTTTATTGTAATTAAATATTTACTAATTTCAATATATTTTAATTATTTTAATTAAAGAATGCTCTTTGTTTTATTTAAAACTCTTACACGTGAAAACTTTCGCTAAAAATATTGACTTTATAATATCGATATAATATATATAATACGTTAATATTGATGTGTTTCACGTTTCTTAAAAAAATTTATAATTTATATCTCATTAAAATACTTATAATTATATCAATATATATGCAAATTTGTATAGCAAGAAATTGATGAAAATTGACAAAAATTAATAGAAATATTTTTATGATATAAATTTATTATTTTTCAAAATTTATATTTTTTTCTCTTTTAAAATAAATCTCTCATAATTACACGAGTTTATAAATCTACTTAAATCGATATATTTTCGATTCTGCCGCACTTAATCAAAAACTTGTGGAGATAATTGAAAAATCGCGATACGGTCGTTTTTTGTTAAATTTTTGAAATAAAATACATATATTGTGTATTATTTTATTTAACCTATAAAGGCACTTACAGGGCTTACTTACTAAAGGACTGCTCCGTTGTTGACGCGTCGAAATAAATCAGGACATTCACAAATTCGGAGTATCGAGGAGATGTTTTGCATACGAAACTTGTAACAAAAAAATTATAAAAATTTAAAACTATCTTGTATAAAAAATTCTCTTGTCGAAAAATCCATCTGAATTCCAAGCAAAATCCACAAATTTCTATTATATATTATATTAGACTGCTGACACACGGCGACGTTACAACTGAAGCCATGACAGCCATTTACATTTGGGTAGGATATACATATATAGATTGATTTAATATACACTGTGTCGCATTTCAATTTGCCGGCAGTTATGAAAATATAAGTTACAACACGGCAATGATTAAAATAAATATAGCAATTATTAAAATAAATATAAGCAATTATTAAAATAAATATAAGCATTTATAAGTACATACAAATTAAAATTTTAATCAAATGACGTTATGTCAAATTTTGTGACACCCGGTATAAATTCTGTCGAACTGGATTGGTCAATACCGAAACGTCAGTATTTTATTCCTTGAGGATTGGCAAGAATGATGGAAATTACGTTCGAAAATTCTATGCCTGCGATGGAATAGTATTTAATTGGTCTCTTTGTCCTGATTGATCAATTTGACGTCATTGTAATCGATGGGGAGAATTTTTGAACGCACTTGGAGTAATACTGCTAGTTATATTGCGCATGCGCGAAAACTGCGGGAACCTGTCAGAGCTGTCAGAGAGAGAAAGAGAGAGAAATAGAGCAACACTGGTTTACTAGGTCCTGATTATTTGGAGCAAGTTGGAAAGTTGTATCGTCGGTTTTCAACGTAATAATCCTCCGTTAATTTTAGTTTGATTCTGCCATTATAATCTATTTAAACGTACATTCGAAAATGTCTACGAAATCCTCGGTGGATCTGCGAGCGGAGTTGGCAGAATTAATAAAACGTAAAGCTGAAATTGCTGTGAGTACAATATACATGTGCCAACAATTTTCACGCATATTTTACGTCAAAGCGGTACAGAATATCACATTGTATATTTACATAACACAAAATTTGTAAAGTTTTTAATTCCTCTTTATTACACATCTTATTTCGTACTATTTATTTAGCCTTAGATGCGAACAGCTGATTGTGGTGATTTACAAAAGTATGAGGTTATGACGTCGGAAGATAAATCTAAAAATATTTTAGCAAGAAACTCAAACATGATTTATTTATATTTATTTATTTTTTTATTTATTTTTATATTTATTTATTTATTCATTTTTATTTATTTTTTATAAAAATAATTTAATTATAATTTTTTTATAAATATTTTAATTATAATTTTAATAGAATTATATTTTTTTTTATAAATATTTTAGCAAGAAACTCAAACATGATTTATTTATATTTATTTATTTTTTTATTTATTTTTATATTTATTTATTTATTTATTTTTTTTTTATAAAAATAACACCATGAAATTATAATTTTTTTTTACATTATAAAATACAACAGATATTAGATAGGAAAACTTGTACAAGGCTTGATTTTTGCAGGATACATTAGCCAATTTAGAACGTCAAATATACGCCTTCGAAGGAAGCTATTTGGAAGATACGCAATTATACGGAAACATAATAAGAGGTTGGGATAGGTATTTAGCGAGCAACAAAAATACTAATAGCAAAGCTGATAAGCGTAACAGAAAATTTAAAGAGGCTGAGAGATTATTTTCTAAATCATCTATTACATCTATGGCAGTAAGTAAATAAATTTTTCTCGATAAAATTTTATTTACACAAAAAAAACAAAGATATACTATTATAATCAATTAAATAATTAAATTTGTAATTTTATTTCTAATATTTTGTACGCTATTTTAATCTTCTTAGAGGATTAATAGCTAATTTGCATTATTTCTTGTTACAGGCGGTTAGTGGACTTGTAGAGAATGCGCAAGAAAAAAGTAAGGACCTCAATGGATATTCATGATTATTATATCATGATTATTTATTTATAAAAATAATATTCTTGTATTTTGTACGCACTTTTCTTTATTATTCTCTTTTCCGTAGAAACAATGATAATTTTATGAATGCATAAGTAGTTACTTGTGTTTGATTAAGTTATCTTATTGTGTTATTGTATATATTATTATGTTATAAATAGAATATATCTGCACTGATTTTTTTCTCGTTTGGATTGCTTTGTATCTAGAAGAATAATATTACTAGAGCTAGCATTTGATATCTACAAGTATAAAATATCATTAATATAACTAATATTAGAGTATTAGAAACCTAATATTAGAACTCGATGCTGAGCTTAAGTAATTAAATAATTTTTTTAGTTTGAATAGACTTAGTCGCTATATATCTGTTATGTGTTTAGTAGCATATAAATAATACTTTATTATAAATTATATAATGGTATTGTTCTTCATTTTCCTATTAATCTCTATAAATGATGTTGCACACTTTTATGTATCTCGAGATCGTATGAATGACCATGCTTTAAGAGAGTATAAACTTTGCAAGTACAATAGTAGCAAACAAATAATTATAATAAAAATATATATATATATTATGCAAATATTTGTATTACACATAAATGTTTATTTTCTGATACAGAAAAGATCATACTCGCTACGAGCATTGTCTGAGTGAAAATTCTATACCTCTAACATTGGCTTATGCACCTGTATCGCTCCATCTGCAAACAATATCTATTTTCTCTCGCTTTCTCTTCCACTTGTATACCGTTAATATGAGATCCCTGCTTAATTCCAGTTGAACGATACAGTGAATCGGAGTCTCAAATTGGAAATAGTGGAAGTGAGGACAATTGCAACTTTGGCAATTCAAATGCAATCTCTTCTAGCAATAATAAAGAAGCTAGCGGAAAAAATCATACTTCCATTCAAACTGGATATGCCCAAAATAATAGTACACTTAATAATTCAGAAAATGCTTCAATTCAATTTACAAATGGCTCAATGTCCAATGGAAATTTAGAACACATTACCACACCTGTCAAAGAATGTCACAGTAATAGTAAAGACTCGAATAAAAATAAATCTACAAACAGCGCAAAAAAGAATAGTAATAAAAGATCTAGAAATAGGTAGAAATTCTTCTAATTATAAACTATGTATTAATTCTTTGTTACTTGGTATTAAGCGATACAAGCATTGCTCGAATGACAACATGAATAACGAGATTAGCTCTAAGAACCTTTTTATTTATAATATCATATTCATTATTTTCATATATATATTTTTTTTGGATAATATCTGAAACCTTAACATTAGGAGGGCGATTTAGATATAATAGATTCGTTTTAGTATATAATAGAAACAAAACATTTCCATTTTAATTTAAACTGTATTAAAGACATGATAAATTAATACATTTCATCTTACGCTAATAAATTAATTTCTTCATAATTACATTATATAATATATGTATTAATAAACGTAATTAGTATATGTTGTAAAAAGATGCAAATAATCTCTTTTGTATCTGTAATATTTATTGCAATATTAATTCTTTACAAGCTATTTTTTAAATTTGCTGAAAAAGTACAACTTTCTAAAAAAGATGTAATGATAAATATTACACAAATTAATATAATAATATATTCTTTGATAACATTGCCGAAAATATTATATACAATACTAATTACACCTTACATCACACATTTCTTTCATTCATAGCTATACATAATATAATAATAAATAAATAAAAATAAAATATATCTCAGATCTCACATCAGGATAAAAATTGAAATATTTAATTCTGTAAGAGATCTTCATTTTTTAGCATATATATGTACATAATCTAATATACATACATACATATTTGTTTATGAAAATATTTTTTATCTTTCTTTTTTTATATTTTTTTACAAAGATTTTTTTCTTATTTTTCTCTTCTATATAAGTTTTAATATATAAATTATGTTATCAATGAAATATCTAAAATTACAAATAAAGAGACGCAATTGTCTGAAAATACATATATTGAATGTTATACAGGTAAGAGAACTGTACATTGTAATACAAAAAAAACTATCTTAATATAGCAACTTATATATACGTAATGCGTTCGAAATCTTCCAATTGGAAAAGAAATAATCCTTATGTAAAAATAAACCAAAAATATAGAATACCTTTTACACGATGCGTTATATTTTTGAAAAAAAAAACTTGATTTTAAAAGTTGGAAAAATTAATAGCACATATTTATATTTTTTTTTCAAGTTAAATCTCTAACAATTTTATATGTCATCGAATTTATCTCGATATAAGCACACTAATAACTATATACAAAATTAATTCTAATATATAAAAAAATAGAACATATCATATAATAAAATAATTTCAAATAATGTATTAATTGAAAATTATGTGTGTCTAATGTATTAAGATAAATTCTATTTTTTCTGTAGAAAGAATATCTTGTATCTTGTTATATATTTCAATAACCATATTCTCGCGAGAGTAATTCAATAATAAATGTATATCACAAACCAGTTAGAGATTATAAAGGAATATAAAGTTGAAAAAGAATAAACACACATATGTTATCCGCAATATACACATCCAAAAGACAGCTAGATGATATCAAGATTTCAAAGACATTTATGGGACGAAAATCATCTTCAAAAAGTCTCCTTTGAATGTCTTTTGAATATGTATGTTGTGTGGAATAAATTTTTCAATTCTCGAAAATAATGTGCTTCATACAATTAATTTTATTTTACATTTTATTCTACAAGAAAACATTTTTTTTCTTAATTATAATACAATTTGTTCGGCACATTGTAATAATAGTGTAATTAATAACATTCTCTCAGCGAAACATGAGAAATATATACAGGGTGTTTCTAAAACTATGTCGGAGATTTTAAGGGCGTATTCTAGGGTTTAAAATAAGAAAAAGAGCTCATATAAACATGAGTCCAAAAATGCTTTTCCTCCAAATTATAGCCCCCTAAAGTTGAAGGAAAAAATCGAAAAATGTATTGTAACTCGGAGACTTTTTCATAGAACATTAAAGTTCTGCACAGCGTAATAATTAATAATGAGCTTTATTTTTATGTGGTTTTCACAATTTTTTCCTTCAACTTTAGAGGGCTATAACTCGGAGGAAAAGCATTTTTGGACCCATGTTTATATGAACTTTCTCTTATTTTAACCCCTAGAATACGCCATTAAAATCTCCGACATAGTTTTAGAAACACCCTATATAATATATAAATTAAATATATGTATGTTGCATATAAAAGAATCACCTTAGAGTATAAAAAAGAACACATATTATATTCTACATATTATAAGAAGCTATCAAATACGTAATGCTCCGCTGTAAAAAAAAATACACAACATTTTGCATGGAAAGAAAAAATAGTGAAGTGAAGCTAAAGTGTATCAAATTTTATGCCTGTCGTTTGTAAATAGAGCGCCGGGTATAAATGTTTTTATTTCGGCTGCAGATTTTGCATTCTTTGGCGGCTCGCTTCTAGTTACAACCGCGTTAAAGCCATTACGATCATCTGCTGTGTAAGAAACGGTACGAATGGTTCCGTCTTCCTCGACGACCGAATATTCCCCTTTAACTGTATCTCCGTCTCGTTCTTCCCACGCTGACTTGGAGTCGCCGGTGTATCCGTCGATTACGCCGTAATTAAAGGAATATTTAGGATACGCCTGATAAAAAAATATATATATATATATAATATTTTATCTGTTATTTTCTTATATTTATATTTTTTATTTTTTTATATATTGTGTATTTTATATTTTTTACTCCTTTTATATATTGTTTGTAATTAATTTGTATAAATTTGTATCCATTTGTGCTATTGTATTGTTCGTTCGAGGGAAATTTTTCAAAAAGATATGATTGAAAAATATAAAATTATGTATACATATACAGGGTGTCCCAGACCATTAACGAATCAGCCGTTAATGATAGATTCCTGAGATCATTTGGAAACGAAAATCTTCATATCAAAATGTTGAGGAAGATGTAGTTTCGGCGCTACAAAAAATTAAATTTATTACCTTTATTATATAATTTATCTTTATTATATAATTTATTATTATTTATTACCAATCGACACGTTACGTTCTCCTGTGCTCAGGGACATAGCGCATCAAAGGGCCCGCGATAATATCGATATCGATAGAGGGATTAAAATAAAATTTATTTAAAATATTATTAATTATAAAATAAAATAATTTATTTATTATAAAATAAAAAAGAGGATTTTGCAGTTAGCGCGATTGTGTCTTCGATGCGACAGTAGTTTGAACATTTTTAAGATGTCTTTCTCAACATTTTGGTATTAGAATTTTCTTCTCCAAATGATCTCAGGAATTTGCTATTAACGGCTGATTCGTTAAGTCTGGGACACCTTGTATATTGATATATTTAATCTTGACTCCTGACGTAGAGTCTGGCGCATTTAAAATAATGGCGTCCTATCAATCAAAAATACTTAATATAAATAATAGGCATTTATCTCTCATTTTCATTTTATTCCATTATTTTTAACTTTTTTCTTTTCATTCCATTATTTAACTTTTGTCATTTAATAACTATTTATTTTTTATTTTCACATAATTCACCATATTCTGGACGTCCTTCTCCAGCGATTTCGGTTCAGTAGCTACGATAGCTGATGCAGATTTGACGATGGGCGGCGCGATATATACCAGGGAAGAAGTCCTTGGCAAAGGCTTATATAGCAGAGGCGCCGATACTTTGACGTATGTAGGTGATTCTAAGTGATGACTTCCCGGTCCAGACGCATCATCACTTTTCACCGATGCGAATTTCAACGCGCACGCGATAGTCGGTCCGAATGCATCCAACGATGTTGAATCGACAGGAGTGCACGAATACGCTTGCCTCGGGTTTTGAAATGGTTGCGAGGAGTATCTGTTGCAAGAGAAAAAGATGGAATATTTTTTGCCCTTTTTCCTTCCGCAAAATCGATATGACATCCCGGGTGAAAAAAATGTCATATATAATTTCTTAGGAAATTTTAGGAATTTTTTTCATAAATTAAATTTATTAAAGAATTCTAAAAAGATATATCAGATTTATATTCAGATTTTTAAATATTATTTTAGAAAAAAATATAGAATAAAAAATCTCAAAATATTTAACATTTATATATATTATACAAGAAATTCTAATTTAAAATTTATCGTTGGTAAAAATATGAATTATCTTCATTTCGGAAGCCTTTTGAAAAGTGTACTAATTCAATGGCAAAAAATTTAAAAATTTTCTGAAAAGGTTTTAAAATTCTTATAGAAAATTTTCAGAGAGAAATTATTATGAAAATTTTTATGATTAATTCTGTAAATAATTTTCACTAGGAGTAAGAAGAGTTTCTTTTTATTCAAATCATCTTGCACTCACTCTCGAAGAAGATTCGCTCGACTAAAGCTGAGCAACAAGATACACAAGAGTAACATCTGAGAACAGAGGAAAGACACGTGAGATAATCTTTTCGCAATATTATTTAAAGTAATTGCATTGCGTAAAACGTGCGATTTATTATTTGAAGAAAGCATAAGAGAATTATTCGACATTATTAACGACGAGAGATGGTCTCTATTACATAATAGAAACGATTCGCAGCTAGATTACACATCCACAGTTGCTGCTTCACATTCTCTTCATGTTCACCATACAATGTGCTAGATCTATTATCGTTCTTCCGATGAGCGTCGAAAGAATGTTCGACGCTCTAGCATGCAAGTCATTGGTTTCACATCTTCTTGATCATTTACGAGAATATATTCTAGATTTGAGATCTAACATTAGATCTTATTTAAAAATAAAAGGGGCTCTAGAAATTCATAGCTCTATTTATCCGTGAATTTGTAAATTTTTACGTGTTATATGCATAAATGTACACGGAAAAAATGGCGGCTATCATTAGTCTGCTCCATTGTGCAATGTACTCGTTCTATATCTAATTAAAACTTTAGTTATTCTAAAGATTATAATTCTATAAGATACGATAACGTGATTAATTCATTTGATAGATTCAACTCGATTCAATCGATGAGATTTTTTATTTAATTATTATATTAATTTTAATATTAATTTAATTTAATTATTATAAATTATAACAATTAAATAATTTCTTATAACAATTAATTTATATAATTTATGTAATTTATATATAATTATTATTATTATAACAATTGACAATTAATTTCATTTAATTATTATATCATTCTGATCTCGAAATGTTACATGGATATCTTTTCGAAATTTTAAAATTGTCTCCTCCTTTACTCCCTTTTTTAGCTTTATTCTCCAAGAGAGTTGGAAGGAGATAAATTTTTGACTTAAATTTAAAAGTCCCTGGGAATCTATGAAATTCAAAATCAGAATGATTAACATTGATTACGTTCTTGAGACATTAAAAATTGAAATGAGAATTAATTTGAGAATTAATTTATTGACGACAACTATGTAAATGTCAAATTTAAAAACAAATAGAGAGTTCCTTCGTAGCAAGAAAAATTTCATTTGACATACACGAAAAAAAAAAAATGGCGAAAAATTTAAAGCGTGCGAAATATAATATTAACAATACTAACCGTGCCACAGAAGATTTCTTCTAAATTACATTTCCGCATAGTAAAGAACATTGTAATCCGTAATATCGAGAGCACAATATAAGGGACACGTAACTTAGGATGGCTTTTCTCGTTGAAGTGTGTTGTCCTTTTTTTTTTTTTATCAAAAGCTAAGCGTCTTTCCTTTAATCACAGAACATTTTCACATATAAATGCTTCGCGTTGTTTAATTAAAAGAGATATATTATCGTTGCATACTCTCTGTCGAAACTCGAGAATCGGTATTTTCGTTGTTCCCGATCCGAAGACGTAGTCCTCTCGAGTAAGCGATGTCTCGGAGAGCGTTGCAGCATCTCACGATTGCGAATCTTCTTTATATACCGCGAACATTCACTTACATTTTTGTCGGTTTCTCGCGCCGCGCGCCTTAACAGCGAGATTGCAGCGATGCACAATCGGGCATTGCATTAGGGAGCATGGGAACTCACATCAGTTGCATCGAATGAATGATCGAATTTATAATCATTACGTACAATTACGTCGATGTGTTTGTTTTTACAATTTTAAAAGACGAAATTAATTATAAAATTAAGCGAGATTAGATACAATTTATTCTACTTTATTTACAGACAAAAGAAATCGATGCGTGTGTGTATCTCCATTTTTTAAAAATGTAATATATAATCCATAAAAGTTCTAAATATACAGGGTGTCCCAGACCACCCATGCACCCATTTTAAAATGAAAATAAATGGTTTTTATCAAAAATCGCAAACAATTTTTAAGTAAATCGGATACGCTCTATCAAATGATGATATTTTCAACTTTTGATTCCGGCCGGAAATATGCCTTCCGGATCAGAAGTTGAATTTTTTTAGGGAAACATGGTACTTTTTATTGTAGATTCGAATTGTACGTGAAAAAATGAGAAATTTTTGTATCAAACGTTTTTTTCTGAAAATACCTCTGTCAGTCTTAACATTTGAAGTTCATTATTTCATCACAGTTATTTTCAAGATCAATTTTAAAATTGACAGAGGCACTTTCAGAAAAAAACGTTTGATACAAAAGTTTCTTATTTTTTCACGTACAATTCGAATTTGTAATAAAAAGTACCATGTAAAGTTCCCTTAAAAAAATTCAACTTCTAATCCGGATGGCGTATTTCCGGTCGGAATTAAAAGTTGAAAATATCATCATTTGATAGAATGTACACGATTTACTAAAAATTGTTCGCGATTTTTGATAAAAGCCATTTATTTTCATTTTAAAAGGTAGTCTGGGATACCCTGTATATGAATTATATTAGATAATTTAATTAATATTTATTAATTAATATTCATTAATTAATATTCATATCATTGCATTCTAAATAAGTTTATTGACTACGGGATCGTTCTAAATAATTTTAAATTTAATATCTTCTATAAATTTACAATCAATATATACTTGTCATGTAAATTGTAAGGGAAATTGATACTAACATGAACTGTACTAATTTATTTTACACAAGTCAAACACATATATCTTTTTATACAAAAAAGATATGACAATTTGAACTATAGAATTACGAAAATAACTTTACATTAATTATCTTTTCATGGTTAAAATTAAAATTTTCAATAAATAATTTCATACTTCAATTTTCAATTTGCAAATGTTTTTCGAAAAAAAAAAGATAATTCTTTAATCAATGACAGTTCGATATTTTCATTGTAGGAAAATAATTTTTCGCGTGTTAAATTGTTTTTTCTCATAAATAATAATCGTAATTTTCATAAATCTGTCTGTGGACTCTACGATTTTTTTTCTTCGAAGCGATAAAAACCTGCCCAAGATAAATATCGAGGACAGTTTTGCACTCAAGAGCCAAAGCGATTCTTTTTAAAAATAGCGATATGATAAACATGCATAAGATTAACTCCTGTAACAGATATCTGAAGCTGGGAAATAAATAACAATAAATAAATACTAAATCGATATAAATTTAAAATTTCTAAACAAAAGTCGCAAGTTCAAACAGAAGCTGTTACAAAAATCAAACAGCCGCGTATGTTTATAATTTGACATTACTGTGCTCTCTGTTCACGAAACCTGATTCTATTTGAAAAATTCTCCAAACAAGAGTCCAGACAGGAAAACGAGCAATCTTAATATGAAACAAGTTGCGACACCACACTTCTCGTACAGTTCTCATATATTTCTTATACTTGTAATTCAGTAATTAAAATTTTGCGATCAAGCGAGATTACTCGAATCTGCGAAGACTTCGGCCGCAAGTCACCTTCTACTAACAGCCAATTAGCAAAAAGTCATCAGCCAATTCACGGACATAGATATATCTTTATTTTTACACCACACTCAACAAATAGTAAGTCGAATATATATTTTTTTGAATTTTTTTCTTTCCTCTTTTCCTTCTTTCTCGGCTGCGAAACGATTCTTAGACAATTAATCGCTATTAAAAATAACAAAAAGTTCATCCTTCAGCTTCTCACTCTTTTGTTTTTTGTCTTTTACTTCCCTTTAATCGCTATGAATTTCTTTAGAGAAATCATTTCATTTCCATAATCGCTATCGATTTCTTCCGAGAAATTCGATTATTCTTTTTCATTTCCTAATTTATTTCTTTTTCCATTTTAATCCTCATATTATCCACGTATTTTTCAAAATGTTTCGATGCATTATTTCTAAAATAATGGAAGGAGAGAAGTAAATAATAATAATAATAATAATAATAATAATAATAATAATAATAATAATAATAATAATAATAGTAATAATAATAATAACAACAAAATACGTCATCACAATTTTTGTTATTTTTATTAGTGCAGATTATACGCAAATCACGCAATAGTATAAAACACTTTAGGAATCGGCGGAATCGGGCCTTGAGGCAACAATTGGCTCGAATCTTAGAGGAAAAAAGAACTTCTGGCTCTCCAATCACCAATATCACCACAAATGGAATAAATGTGGAAATCATAGACAGCCAACAAGACAGTCAGAATCCTCCCCCTCCTCCTCCTCCTACTCCAGTGCCCCACTATTCCTCCATTTTTTCGCCGGAGAGCTCCCGTCCTTTTCTTCTCCTTCCTCCCCTGTCCCAGTAATTATCCTAGATTCTCCTCCTTCCTCTCCTTCAGAATCCAGCGATTTCCGACAAGAATGGCTCGATTTCGACGAAGCTCTCGAGGACTTCACAAAGTATCTGTCCGACCTCGAAAGGACGTCGCACGATTTTGAGGAGTGATCCTGAAGAAGAAACGGCAGTTGATCGAATCCAGCGATTCAAACCTTCTGCGATACTTTTCCTGTCGCAATTTCCGTCCCTTTCATATCTCTTAGCAGAAGAAATATTTTGCGTGGACCCTGCTATGGTCCTATGGACCATGAGAAATTGTACAGAGTACTAATTCAAAGTCATCCTGATATCCTCATAACTGTTAATTATTTACTTTTAATTATATACTTTTCACTCAACAATATAACATTTTATATAACATGTTATATAACAGTTACATGACATGTTCAAGTTATATTGTCGAGTGGGAAATTACAACTAACAATTATAAAAATGTTACTTGATGTTCGCCGTTTATATATTGTTATATATTTTTTGTTACAAATATATTGTTTATATTTTTGCACCAGTCAGAATTTAAACTAAGGCGTAAAATTTCCCTCTGCATATCGATTCTGTAAATTAATGTAACATCTGCGGAAATTGATTTGTAATTAAAATTGTGCAAATTAGTTGAGTTAGTGGGGATATACGAACTTTTTATAAAGAACGAAAGCATTGTTATTTCGAAAAATCACGCTACATATATGCTAAATGTTGCATATGAATGTTTATAGACATTTTCATACTTGTTCGTGTTGTTCGTGTTTGCATTGAACTGACGTCACAGCGTCTATCGTTTTATTTTCCTTCAATTGGCAAAATTCTCATAAAACTTTGTACCTAAATGTTTTTTTGAACTGAATATGAATTTTCCAAATTTAAAATAATCTAATATGGCAGCCAAAATTTGGAAAAATGTAACAAATTGATGAACTACAATGAAAATCTCTTTTATCTTTAATTCTTAAAAGGGAATGCTCGACTTCCCGAACTCGATACGCTGATAAAAATTAAAACAAAAAATGTACTAATAGGTTCTCTCGTAAATTTCAGCTTTTTTACTACGAAATTAATAAATACTCTTTTGTTCATTTCATTGTAGATGTGACCATGAAGTAAAAGTACATACTCTTACTTCATGATTATGAAATAACATGTCTATTTACATATCCAGTTTTTATCGACTTTTTTGCGTACACACGAGTTATGTTAGTTATTCGCATAATCTTATTTCATAGACTTAGTTAGTTACATTCGCGATATAATATCAATGTAGTTCCGATTTTTTCGAAAATCAGTTTATTAAGCGCGATTAAAACAATCAATGTCATTTGTATAAGATAAGTTTAGTGTAAAAGATCTGGTTCCTAAAAAACGTTGATTTGGAAATTTTAAACATATGCATATCTATATAAATATAATTTTCACAAATAATTTATATAATATTTGATATAATATTTCTTTAAATGAAACAAGTATATGTGAAATCTATCATGTCATTTATATTTCTCAGAAATCATACGTTCATTATTGTTGTGGTGTCCTATATACAAGATAATGGATCACGATCTCTGGTAAGGTCTCAACATACATTGTGATATTATAAAATTAATTATTCGTATTTCGACAATTATATCGCTGAACGTGTCAATTTGTTTTCATATGTCGTCTTGTTAATTATAATATTTGCTCTAAATTTTGATTATTGACAATAAAATCATCAATATGAGTTTACTGCGATTTTTTGTATTGCAAAATTCGTGCTTGAAGTTCTAACGATTCATCGATATGCACGTTCATCATTTATATATTAATTGTCATACATTATTTAGAGTACGCGATATTTTATTATCGCAATTTCAATGTTCGTTGTATCTTAATAAATTCAAAATGTCGTGCATGTTAAAATTAGAAACAAAATCGATCAAAAGTAGTTACTATAGTTTTGATATATATATGTTATAATATTAATTAAAAGTTTTCATTTTAATGACTTTTTATAAGATTATTCAGCATTAATTCTACTCTTTAATATATTATTGATTTATTAGCGAAATATTTAAGAGAAAAATATTGGTTTTATTTGTCAAGAAAAATAGGGAAATATTGGAAATCTTTAAGTATAATTTTATAGAGTTATTGTAGTTTTTAGAACTTTAGCAAGCACGGAT